TGGCAAAGCTACCTTAGAAAGGAGAAAGCTTCCCCCTCTTCAACACTTTGGACATTTTCGGATGAAGATTCCTCGAATTCCGTATATTTGAGGTATATAGTGCCCTCGGGAATATTGTGGATAAAGACACAAGGATTATTCTGGTTGAAATTATTAACCCTCATGTGAGTCAAAAAAGGGGACTTTTTGGTCCTTTTTCAAAAAGTTACCTAAAAACTTCCCTTAAACGGCAACATATTTATTGAAAATATTTTACAAAATTATTCAGCATAAAATTCTACTATAGGTTCTAGAAGACGTCAAAAGTCTAAATCTTACCTAATTCACATATATATAAAAAACATATTTTAGGGTTAAAGCTGTACTTCAGTTAAGTTTCTGCCAAACTATCCCATGAGACATAATTCTAGAAGGATGACTTCAAAGACAAACATATTCCTCATCAAATTTCACTAAATATTGCCAAAGAAAGGAAATCTCTATTTCCAATGCATATCATAAAAATATTTGCAACAGTTTTCCAAAAAAAAAAAAAAAAAAAAAAACTAAAAATATTCCCTAATTTTTTGATTAATATTTCCTCGGACTTTTTTGGAGTTGACGCCTGAAAGTAATATGAAATCTCGTTTTAGGCGAAATGTGTCAGAAGAAGAAATGTTCTACCCAATGTTTCACCATAAATCCCGGAATAAACTATATATCGAGAAATAATAGTTTTTACGAAAATGACATTCGAAATTTATGTGCTGTAAGTGAAAACTTACCTTTTTACTTGTAATTTAACACGTATCCAATTCGAGTCAAAATCTCCCTTTAGACTTCATTTTTTGGGGAAAGTGTCAAAGGAAGATTTATTCTAAATCGAATTTCACTGTGAGACTCCGAAGAAACGAAATTCGTATGTTCAATATGTACCATGAAAAAATTCAACAGTTTTAATTAATTACTTTAAAAAAAAATACCAATTTTTCCAAATTCACTGCAAATTTTCTCAAAATTTGACGGTCTAAACCCCAGTTTGGGTTGTGAAAAACTCTAAAGGTACTTTATAGGACTCCTTTGTAGATCATAATCCCAAAGGAGTTTCGGGTTCTTTGGCCAATCATAGTTAGCCTTCATATGGTTTTGCCTACACACAAAGGAACTCATATTGTTTAAGATATATTTCGCAACATTTAAGATAGAGCCTTGAAATTTGATAGAGATCTTTGGATTACATCTAGAATCATTGATACCAGAAAATTGGTCATATTGGTCCATTTTTTTTAGTAGCCTCCTAGGAAGAGTGTCATGTTTGCCTATGATGATCAATTGGACACCTAAAAGTATACCTTAACTATTTTAAATATTAAAAACTCAAATTTCACTTCAACTTTATCTGATTTGTATTTTTAAGAAAAGTCAACATTCTTTCAGGGTTACACAGTGGATTTTATTTACATTTAATTTTTTTACGGCCACTTAAAATTAAAGCTTTGATTTGTTATTGTTGTTGCTGTTTTTTCTGGTTCATAAAAAATAATTCCTTTTATGTTTGAAATGATTTTTAACGACTTGTGTTGTTTTTTTCTTTCTTTTCAACTGTCATTGGAAGTTTTATAACCTGCACTGCACTTGTGTTAAGATCGTAAAAACGAATCTACCTTAGCTTTGGTTGGCAGGCAGTCCTCCTGGCGAGTGTGATATGACAAAACACCATTTAAAAATGAGACACATAAAATTGAGGAGGACATGCAGGTTCATTTTGTCATAAACAATTTTGCATAATACTTATTATGGCTTGTTGTCTGTCTGCCACCATTGAAATCAAATCATTTAAAAGGATTGACAATTTTTTATGATGGCTCAAAGTAATAAAAGCATTATTTTTTCAAAAAAACAAAAAAAAAATACTTTTCTTATCGCAACTTATATTTCCAACTCAATGTCTAGACATTATTTTTCAAATCAAATGCCATTCATTCTGTGCCCCAAAGATTGATTGCCCCCAAAGAGTTTGGCACAAATGTGTGTTAATGATAACAAGCTGAGCTGAAATGCATTTAGCATGGATGCGCTCGCTCATCAATTCTCACCGAATGCGATTGTATTGTAAATAAATTAAATGCATTATCGTTAATCTTAAATTGTCTGCAATTTTATGCAAATTTTCTGGCTGTCGGTTTGGCTGTTCGCTAACTGACTGGCTTGTCTTCCATCCATCCATCTGTTGTTCGCATTACACCTTCTTCGTCTTGTTGTTGTTGTTGTTGTGTGAACAGCTTGTCTTGGCAGTTACAGATACGGGCAACTCGAGCGTACATTACAACTGATGTGCATAATTTATCATAATAAAAAAAAACCAACAACAACAACAACCAGCCAACAACCAGTTATTGTTGTTGTCATTGTTGTAGCACTGCAATTTATTTGCCACCAACAATAATAAAGAGTAATAAAATCAACAACAATCAGGTGTAGTTTCAGGGTCAATGTGTCTAAATAAAACAAAAAAAAAAAACACACACAGCGACAGAAGCGCAAAAATTACGACGACGACGTTGTTGATAACAATTAACTTCCAGCGCTCAACACTACTAACACCATTCCAAAACCAAGTCTAAACTAAAGTTGGATTAACCCTCACCGGGCTATGGGCATTTGTTTTCGTATATAAGAAATGGGATCTTAAGGGAGCCGGAATGAAATTCGAATAGTCCTCCCTGTGATTGAAAAAATCCAATATGTCTTTAAAAAATATTCGGAAAGGATCCATGGCCTGAGCCTTGATAATCCTTGGATAAATACGCTTCAACTAGCTTTAAGAAGTCCTGAAGAAAACAATATTTGAAAATACAGTCTGAAAAATATTCTAAAAAATTGGAAAAAAAATTTGTCTTTGAATCCTTTGATTTCATTTGAATCCTTAGCTAAATGTTCTTAACAAATCAGGATCATACCTTGGTTACTTCTTAAAAAATTCCTAATATTGTAGGTCGTTCGTTAGATAGTTCTCGAATTTTTTTTTTTGTTAAAAAGTGAGCGATCAAAGCTTTTCTACTCCTCGGAAAATTACACTGTGCAAATTTCAAATTTTCCTATAATTAAAGGATAAATCCAGCAGATTATGAAAGTAGTGCAAAAAATGAAGAAACTTGTATTGGCGTTTTGAAATTTCACATTGCAAAGTAACCAAAATAGAGTGGACCCATTTCCCCCCTCTTTCACACTTTTGGAAATTTTTGGATTGAGATTGAGATCCTTCGACGATGAAACTTCGCATCGCAAAGTAGCCAAATAGAGGGGACAAATTCCCCCCTCTTCCACACTTTTGGAAATTTTCGGATTGAGATTCCTGGGTTTCCGTGTATTTTGGGAATATAGTGTCTTTGGCAATATTGCAGACAAAAATAGAGGGTACAAGTTCCCCCCTCTTTCACACTTTTGAAAATTTTTGGATTGAGATTCCTCGGATTGAGATCCTTCGGAAATATTACAGACAAAAATAGAGGAAACAAGCTTCTCCTTTTCGACACTTTTGAACATTTTCCGAGTGAGATTCCTCGGATTCCGTGCATTTTGGGAATGTAGTGTCTTCGGCAATATTGCAGACAAAAATGGGGGAATTATTTTGGTTGACATTTTTAACCCTTAAGCGAGTTTTTGTTGACAAATATGATTAAAAACCCCCTTTAAACGGGATCGTAGCAAGTTAAAATATACAATAAAGTTCTTCGGCATAGAATTCTACTATGGGTTCTAGAAGACATAACCTCCCACAAAGTCCAGCTTTAACCCTAAAATGCGTCTTAAATATATATGAATATTTACAACACATTTTAGGTTTAAAGAGGGACTTTGTGGGAGGTTATGCAAAAATCTCCCACAAAACTTCATTTTAGAAGTATGACTTAGAGGACAAAAATATTCTTCATCAAATTTCACTAAGTCTCACCAGAGAACAAATTTCTATATCCATGGTATATCACGAAAATATTTGCATCAATATTCCTAAACAAATATTTCCCTTTATTTTGATAATTTTTTACGTGTTGACGTCTGAAAGTAACATGAATTCCTAAAATCGTATTCCTGATCTAATCACCAATACTCTGTTCTGAGCTAAAGAAAACCAAAAAGAGCTGAAAAGAACTAAAAAGTGCATTAATGTCCCCACACGTTGTGTAAGGGTTAAATCACACTCCGTCCAGTTTCTTAAGATTGGATGAAAATAACTTTTAAAATAATTAAGATTTTTTTCATTGCATATACATATTTTTTATTGTGATATATGAATAATAAAAAATTGAATATCACTTAATTTACTCTCGGCAAGTCTCAAAACGCAGACAGAATTCATTTCATATCAACCCAACCAGCGAGCATGAGTTGAGATCGTAGGCGTTTTGACAGGCGCCATAATTATATGCATTTTATACAAGGGAGAACAAAAAAGCACACAACAACAACACCAACAGCTACAACAATTTGTAAATTGTTTTATTAAATATGTAAAGTATATGTCAACTATTCACAATTGATTAAATATTTTTTGCTAATGACTATGTGCCATGGAGATTTATGGAAGTGGAGATTAATTAAAATTTATGGCCAGACAAGGGGAATTTGTCACTAGAAATAGATTTGTGTTACAAGTTATAAATTAAGAAGATATTGGGTAAAATATTTAATTTTTTTTATTATTTTTATTTTTAGCTTGATTGATTTTTCAATTCGGGAAATTAAATTAAAGTTAGTTCTTTCTCCTTAAATTATGCTACATATATAAAATAAGAAAATTATGAAGCATAGTTTTAGGAGAAATAAATACCTTTAATTTTATCAAAAATCCAGGAAAAATATATTTAATTTAATTGCTGTTTTTCTTCTGTATTTCTATATTACAAATTTTAGAAATTATTTAGCATACTTTTAGGGATAACTTTCCATTTTTATTTCAACAAAAAACTTATCAAATTGTTCTTAGTTTAATTGTTGTTTTCTCTCCTATATACTTTCAGGTGCTCCAGTTTTCCAATATCCCCCACCACCCAGTCCCTCCTGCTCCGTTCACAGTCCCAATTACACGGGCGGTGATGTCTTCTTTCCACGCAGTCGCAGCACACCACGTACACCCCGCACAAGTGTCAGCTTTGCTGCCGGTGATGAGGTGAATTTTTTCCATCAATCCGCACCGACTTGCTCCAGTTCAGCCCAAACATCACAGGCACCCCAGTCAGCGCCACCAGTCAGTAGTCATCAGTATCTGCCACCGCATCAACAGCATTATCCTCATTATCCACATTTTGCCTATCATCACAACGGTCCGGGCTATTATCAATATACACCTCCGCCCACACCCACCACTGCCAATGCCACGACATCAACAGCGGCGGCAGGTTTGTCGGTGAGCTCAGGACCCAATGGTGCCCACAGAAGTCTACATCGAAGCCTATCAGATACAGCCAGACGGTAGGTATTTTGAATTTGAAAAAAAAAAAAGAATTGAGTACTGAATTAAAATAATGATTACAAGGCCCTTGAAAATTGGGAATTAGAATTGGATTTTCTGTTTGAAATTTTCATTTGCACCAAGTTTTCATTCCGTTGTGCCAAATTTTCCAGACAATTGACACCATTTTATTAAGCCTATAGTTTAAGCAATCTCGATTTTCCCATAGTTTCCAAAGTCTCGGAACAAAGTCCATTGGCCTTCTTGTTGTACATTTCTTTAATAGTAAAATTTTCAATTCTCCCATGAAATTACAAACCAGACTTTTAATTACCACAAAATGGCCAGCCAATGCTGACAGCAGGCCAGCACGAACAACAATGGACCGCCATATGTGGATGACACACTCAGAGTCTGACTTATGGTTGTCCGTTGTTGTCGTTATTCTTTCGTTTTTTTCGTTTCATTTGTCTATAATGCCAAGATAAGCCATTTTTAAGCCTGTCATATTATTTCCCTGGCTCTTCCATTTCTTGTCAATCGTTTTTTATTAAAGCTTGATTGGTGTATTGTTATGATTTCCATTTGCAACAATTAATCATTGCCGTTTATTTTTAATTAATTATTATTTTATTTTGTCTTTTATTTCTTCCTTCCCACGCCACTGCCACAATTAAAGATCACGTTTGACCTCGACGGGTGAAGATGAACGTGAATATCAGAGTGAACATGAAACGAGTTGGGATGAGTTCGATGATCGTTATGACAACTTTACAGCCGGGCGAGAGCGCCTGCAGGAGTTCAATGGCAGAATACCGCCACGTAAGAAGAAAAAGGATGTGCCAAAACCGAAACCGGAAAAGAAGGTAAGTCAAAGACGAAAAATTTAAAGAGATTAAGAAAATAGGAATATCTGAGCCCAATAGTATGCCACAAAATGTTAGGCCTTAAAAATTATATTTACTGAAATGAAGGCCTGAAGTACCTGAAAAAATACACCATTCTTTTAGAAAAAATAAATTCAGCCATAAAGTATGCACTAAAATTTTAGGCCCAAAATATGGCATTTTTTCAGTAACGAAGCAGTAGGAGTGGAAAATATGTCTTATGTCTAAAAGTATGCACTAAATCAATCCAACGTAGAGCTTAGAAATAAAGAAATTAAAAATATTACCCCAAAGGTATGCTATGAAATATCAAGCCTAACAGTATGCAACATTTCTCGAAAGGGCGAAGAAAAAATCCAAAAATATGCAGGCTCCATCTAAAACACTGTTCATCAAATTCGAAAAACAATGGTTGGTCCTAAAACTATGCAACATTTTAGAACAACAATTATGGAGGGAATGTATAGTTTTTGGCTGTTCCAAAGGTTTATGTCTCAATCTTGGTATCAAGCATTTTTCTTCCATCCCTCTTCACAATACATCTAATAATTCATTTTAAAGAAATTCAAACTAATATGCAAGCCTCAACAAACCTCTTTTTCTGCCCCCTATTTTTGTTGAGCAACTGATGGCCTCTCGGCAATTAAACTGTTTCATGGCTAGAACGTCTCTCAAACTAAAGAAAAAAAATCAAAACGAAACAAAATAAACCTAAAACCTATAAATAAAATGCAAATTTGCGATAAAAATTAATTGCGCAGTGTTGCACACACACACACCGAGTTGAGCAGAGTACAGCAGCTTGTCGCGTTTTTTGTATTGGTAGGATAATAAAATTAAAAATTGCCATACAACATTTATGCATTTAAAATATTCGTTGGCGAATGCTAGCTAGCTACTCCTTCATTTTTTTATAGTTATTGTCGTTCTAGTTGTTGTTGCTGTTGTTGTAATACACAAAAGATTTCACAGAAGACTAGCAGAGTAGAGATTGTGTTGTTGTCTTTCTGGCTAGATTCTGTTTAAACCGCGCCCTGTCATGTACTTCAGCCATGCAACGCTTCGTTAAGTTTTCTGTTTTCTGTGTGTGGTACTAGTCCGTTCGTCTGTTTACATTTATTTCGGTTTCTATTTTTTTGTATTCACAGTGTTCCATTACAAGCATTTTTTGCACTTTTTACAAACGCTGCACACATGTGTCACTGCAACTCAAAGCCATTAAAAAAACGAAAGAACCTAGGAATTTTGAAAATTTCTTTCTTTTCGGTTTTCAGTTGGAATAGAACGAATGTTCGTTCATTTATTATTGTTGTTTTCCCATAGTTAAGCTTTGTATCTTTTTGTTGTTTTTTTTTTTTTTTCATATGTATAACTCGTGCTGTGTTGGGCTGTACTTTAAGCTTGAGCTTTGCAGGCAAGGAAATCGAACAAAGGATTGACGATACATGTTAAAGAAGAGGTTCGTTGGAACGTAGTTTTTTTTTCTGAAATAAAATCATCGAAAGGTTGTTGTTTTAGAAAACGACAACCGTCGTTAACAATTATTTACAACGCAATTTAGCTGGAAAATGCAAAATTAAAATAGTGAACATGTCGCGTTTATATTAATTAACAGAGAACATCAAAAGGCAAGGGCATCGGAACAATAGTTTGTAATAAGAACACAACAGCCCTTGAGGAAACAAAGGTTTCGGGAAGACACAATCGTCTGTTTTAGATTGAAATTCTCATTAACTGTTATTTAGTATGGAGATAAACAGTTTTAAATCGGAATAGCATGTTATGTCTTAATTAGTAAAGGATATTAAAATTTTATTTATAGAATCGTTAAAGGCTAGTTAGCACATTATCTTAGAGTCATATATAAAGTGGCCTTTTAAACATTTATCTTTGGATTTTTATAGCATAGTTTTAGGCGCTCTCCACAATTTTTAAAAATATATTTTAGGATTTAGGGCACATTTTTGTGAATCAGGGCAGTGTTGTCTCACAAAAGAAAAATCTAGAGGCACGGATAAAAATAATCTCTATCCAATGTCTTTATAAGTAGCCCCATTTGCATAAAGGGAAATCTTTAGAGCACAAATTTAGTATTAAAATATAGGTCTAAAAATATGCAACAATTTATTTTATATTTTAAATCGCTTAGAAAAACATCTGACATCCAACATGTACTAACAAAAAATCGGAGCCAATTTTTAGAAGAAGAAAAAAAATGAATAAATGTCAGAAAATACGCTCTAATATTTGGAGCCTAAAAATATACAAAGTTTTTCGATGGATGTTTAAAAAACCTCTTTGAATACCCTCCACCATTTGGAACGATTTTGGCAATTTTCAAAAAAAATAAAATCCGCTAAAATTATGTTAAAATCTTAAAAATACCGTACCTAACCGTTATATTAGGGTCTATACGTCGACGTAGACCTGCATAGACAACTTTTGTTATATGCCATTTCAATATTTAAATGCGAAACTTGAAAAAAAAAAAATCGGTGAATAACGTAGCTAAAATCATTAAAATACCGAATATCGGGAGATACTATTATTTGGGGACTACACCGAAAGGTGGACCTGCACAGATAATTTTCTGTCATAGGCTGTAGTATTCATTACGAACTTCAAACACCAAATTTGAAACAATTCCGGAGAATAATGTCGCTGAAATCATCAAAATACCGAATATCGGGAGGTGCCGTTGGATGGGGGCTATATGAAGAAGTGGACCTGCACAGATAATTTTCTGTCATAAGCTGTAGTACCCATTACAAACTTCAAACACCAAATGTCGCTAAAATAATCAAACTGCAGAATATCTACAGGTACCGTTATATGGGGGTTATACGAAGTCGTGGACCTGTACAGACAATTTTCTGTCTTAGGCTATAGTGTCCATTACGAACTTCAAATATCAAATTTTAAACAATTCCGGTGAACAATGTCGCTAAAATCATCAATATACCGAATATCGGGAGGTTCCGCTATATGGGGGCAACACCAAAGTGGTCCATTCTCAATACCAAAAGTCCTGCAGACATAATATACATTTGAGAAAATTTTATCAATCTACTCCATTTCGTTCAGAGTGATTTCCATAGACCGACAGACGGATAGTCGGACGGACATTGCTAAATCGACATAAAATTTTATGCTGGTATTCCCTGCCTTACCCCCTGGTAAACATTACCATCGTTCTCCACTAATAAACAAACGTTGTTTTTTATAAAAACAACAATAAAGGGATAAAGTCTGACCATTTTGCAGCAACTGGTCAAGAATATATATTCTTTGTGGGGTCTAAAATGTATATTTCCTCCAAACTATGGGGGAAGATATAAAAATATTCATAAAATTAGTGATAACACTAAAGGCCTAAAGGTATGCAACACTCGAAAACGTTTAAAGTTAAGTTATTTTTTATTAATAAGATGAAAATTAAAACAATATAAAGGAATCCTTAAGACTATAATGTATTATCCTAATGTCGAGAGAAGAATCTAAAATATGAAATATTCAAAAATCAGGATGGATTTTATTAACACGTTTTATTGCGCATTTTAGCGGGATCAATTTTGGTAAAAATAAACAAAAATATCATGGATTAAATGTACAAAAGTACACAATAGTGTGTTGACCTAAAAGTATGCAACATTTTTTAAAAAACGTGTTAGAAACACGTCCAAAAAAATTCATATACTTACGGAAAATCGGTATAGATCTTGGTAAGAAAAGAACCTTTAATCTAAAATTTCGGCTGATTTGGTTGGCCTTCTTTCCCCAAAACCCTTAAAAATACGAAAAATCTGATTTTCAAAATTTCTCCCTACACTTTCCCAACTCCCCTCGCACCCCAGCACATTTCACTCGTAATACGTTTAATTTTATTTCTTGCAATGTGTGAACTGCAATTTGTCACTTGTGCGAAGCGTGTTATTGCTCTATGAGTTGACGGGCGCAATGATTTGTTTTCTTCCAATACGTTTTTCTGCCGTCGAATGGATTTTATTTCTCTGGTTGTTGCTGTTCTGCATCAGTGAACATTGCTGGCTGACTAGCTGTTTGTTTTGCCTGCCTGGCTGCCCGGTTGCTTGTTGTCTTCTCTGGCCAACAGTTCGCATTCACATTTTCGTTTGATTGTAAATGATTTGTTGCTGGCGTTCGTTGTCGTTGTCGTTGCCATTGCCGATGTTTTCATGTTGCAGCACGTGCAGCCGAGATAGATGTTTTGCAAACTGCACACCAAATAAACGACACTGCATTTTGCTGAACAGATGTAGAAAATTTCCTTGATTTTTATAGTTTTACACATGGAAAAAGACTCAATAAGTGAGTGAAATTAAAATAAAAAAATCGTAGAAAAACGCTTAAGAAAATGTGTAACATTTGTTGGAATTTGTTATTCCCTACTCCGCCGGGTGTTTTTATGGCCATTTATGAGTTAATGACCTTTGGTGTTACGAAAAAATTACTGTAGCTTGATTTTTTTAAACTTTTTGCCCTTTAATGCCCAAGTATTGAAGAATTTATGACTTTGGGGAAAAAACCGAACGCAAATGATATGTAACGAAAGATTTGTGATATATTACGTTGAAAGGAACAAATAAGGAAGTAGAATAGACTTTAAATTTTAATGGGAAAATTATGAGGAATTGAATTAACTATTTTTTGGGGGGAAATATTTATAATTAACGAATTTTTGCGAAGAAGCCTATGTCACCACCTCGGGCAACAACAACAAAAAAAATAATTATTTTATTGGAGCTATAATTATGAAATTAGAGCTAAAAAAGAAAAGACTTGTATCGGTGTTTTTGAAGTTTAGATCATAAATTAACCTACAGGGAGGAGGCAAGTTCCACCCTCTTCCACATTTTTGGAAATTTTCGTATTAAGATTCCTCGGAGTCCGTGCATTTTCGGCGTATAGTGTCTTCGGCAATATTGTAGAGAAAAATAGAGGAATATTTTTGTTGACAATTTTAACCCTCAAGGTTGTCAACGAAGGGGTCTGTTTGGTCCTTTTTTTAAACAGGGCGAAAATCTCCCTTTAAACGGCAACGTTGCAAGTCAAAATCTTCTACAAAATTATTTCCCAGAATATTCTTCTATAGGTCCTAGAAGGCGCCAAGAGCCTAAATTTTACATAGAAGCCAGGAATTTATTTATGTTAAAATACATATTAGGTTAAAGCCGTACTTTATGCGAGTTTTTGCAAAAATCTCCATGAAATCATCATTTTTGAAGGACGATGCCGAAGACAAAAATATTCTTCATCAAATTTTACTATAAGTCGCCAAAGAAAAGAAATCTAAATTTTCATTGGGTATGGAAAAAAATCTGCAATTACTTTCCCACGAAAGAACCGAAATATTCTGTAACTTTTTTAAACAAATTTTTCTCGAGTTGAGCCCTGAAAGTAACATAACATTTCATTTTAGGCAGAAAGAGTTAAAACAAGAAATATTCTACACAAAATTTTACTATAAATCTCAGAATAAATCAAATATCTAGGTACAATAGTTTTTATGAAAATTAGGTTCGAAATGTATATAGTAAAAGTGAAAATAATGTGTTTGCTTTTTTTACTGTTAATTTAACACGTATCCAGTACGAGTCAATATCTCTCTTTATACTTCATTTTTTGGGAAAGTGTCAAAGAAAGAATTATTCTAGATAAAATTTCATTGTGAGTCTCTGAACAATATAAATTTATATATTCAATACGAACCGTGGAAAAATAGCATCAATTTTTGTTAATAAAAAATCATTTTTTTCTGAAAAAAAATTAGCACTTTTTCTAAATTGGCCTCAAATTTTCTAAAAGCCAGCTTGTAAAAAATTCCAAATGGACCTGAACACGAAGAATTTTGTAAATCTGTTATATTTTTCCAACTATTGTCCCCCTCTTCCAATATCTAATAAATATATTGCATTAATTTTCATCTTTTTCGTGTTCTAATCTCTATTTATTTCCCAAAATAATCTCTGTATTGATAACAAACTACACCCTGGAGGATTATAAAGACGCTCACACTTCCTTGAATCTCAGGGCAGTATATCAAAATAATCTCCCCCTCTTCCCCCTTGAAACAATAACTAAAGTTAAAAGAAAAGCCATGTTACACAACACAAGGTGATGACCCAGTTTAGTTCATAATCTGCTATGCAATTAAAGGTCTCTTGAATGGAGTTTCACCTCCACCCCTCTGAAAGTCGAAAAAAGAAATTCATGACAAAAACAAATAACATTTGGTCAACATCCTTATGTTTATTAACCATGGCTGGACTATGGCCATCCAGCGAGTTCATAACAATGAGACCACAACATTGACCTCAACATCGAGAGGCTGCAGCAGGGGTGTTTTTGTTTCTCTCTGGCTTTTTGTTGCGAAAATGTCATAAATTATTTTCATGACTTTGGCCAGGAATAGGGGCGCAAAAATGTTCATATTCTGCTAACATAATAATAATCACTTTACTTGTTGTAGTCGTTGCTGGCTATGTTTGTAACAATGCCCAAATAATTATATTTCATAAATGTTGTTACAGTTTTTCCGCTCATCTTCATTTTGAATCGGGGAGAAAACACTTGTGTCCTGGCCATTCTTTTCTCTGAGTAGGGGAGGGGATGGAGAGTGCGTAATGTTTAATGCTATTATTAAAATATATGTATATGTGTGTTGGTGTGCATTTGCTTGTAAATAATTTGTTCTATTTTTCCCTGGGTGACATTTATGATAATTTATGGGAATAGTTTTTTTTTCTCTCTCGATGCCAGGGATGTGAATAGAAAATAATAACAGATTTGTTAACGCTTCAATAGTTGCAATGACCATTCGAATTGGATTATGAAAATGCAGGGGCATTAAAAACAAGTGGGGAGCCATTTTGAAAATATTTAAGGGTCACTTTTGATAGCATTTCACATATTGTTATTAATTTTTTGTTATATTTTACTAATTTCTTGTTTAAATTTTTTCCTCTTCCAGGAACAAAGCTTTACATGGCCCGCTGTTGTAACTGTCTTTGTGTTTGCCATGGGTTGTGGTTTTCTTGTGGCCCGATGAGTTTTGGCTTATGAATAGAAAAAAGGCCAAGCTAAATAAAAGTGGGAACAATTCATTATACAAAAACACAACAACAACAACAAAACTGCACAGCAACAACAACAACGAATTTATTTTTCTTAGCAAAAAAATAAACAAAACAAAATACAAAAGTTAAAACAACTCGTCTAGTTCATTGTTTGTGAGTCAAAATACCATATGGTGAAGGAGAAGCAGGAGGAGAATGAAGAGGAGTAACATCCGTGGAAGCAGGCGGAAAACAGAAGCTGACGGTGGGTGCAACGAAGCACAAATTGAGGTAGTTTATAGTCCTCTGGAACTCAGAGGACACACTAAACCCACACATATATACAAACACACACAAACATAAACTCCCCCCAAAGGGCAGGGAAAGGGGGTTTGTCCTTTTTTTGTCCCAAAACAGAAACAAGGCAAAACATTTCTCAAAGAAAAGTCACATTAAACAAACCATAAAAAAACAAAACAATTTAGACTGGCAGCAAACAAAACAAGACAATTTAAAAAATAACAACAAAACAAAAAAAATATTTTTTATACAAATCAAAAATATACACAAATAGAACTGAGATTTTTGGAAAAAACTTTACAAAAATACAAATATTTTAAGAGAATCGCATTTTTTTGAAGAATTTTTCTGCTAATATTATAACAAAAATAGAAATATATTTTTGGCTACATATTTACAGACAAAAAATCAAGCTTCTATATAAAATTTAATTTGCTGTTACAAAGAAATCGTAAAAAAATACACAGAAAAATATTTGTCTAAGCCTATCTTAATACTTAAACTTTTTTATACATAGATATATGCTTACCATACATACACATACATACTAAATACAATCTACTGCCTTTTTATCTACAGTATTTTTCTTATTTTAAAACAAAATAATCCATTTCGATGTCTGCAAAAGTATTGAAAAACAACATTTCAAAGATTTAAAAAAAATTAAACAAATTTGAAAATATTTAACATTATTTTGAAAAATTCATGTGGGAAATTAAAAAAAAATTAATATAAAAAAAAATTAAAATCCAAATGAAGATACCAAAAACCAAAAAAAAAAGAATAAATTTAACACAATTTTGGAATGACTCACAAATCTTGGAAAAAATACCAAACATTAAAATAAAAAATTTAAAAAGAAAAATACAAAACTAAGCATAATTTTTGTTTTTGAATATTTGAGATAATTTGAAACATAATTTTGCAAAAACACATAATTTTCATTGAATTAATAAAATATGTTTATATTTAACTAAAAAAAAGCAACACAAAATTTATAAATGAAAAAAAAATGAAAAATGCAAAACTAAATTTTATTTTTTTATTGATATTTTTTTCATTATTTAAAATTCTTAATAGACAATATTCCGTTTTGTTTCATAAAAAACAAATGCTTCAATGCTACAAAATCTTAAAAAATAAAACTTTTGATCATTTTTTAACAAAAAGGGCATAGTCTCATGAAAAAAATATTTAAAGGAAAATAAAATAAGCTTAAATCTTCATTTTTTTATTTATTTATAAAATATTGTATATATAACAGAGAAAAAAGAATTTTTCCTGCTAAACATTTTCGTTTTTTTTTGCTAATCTTGTTTTATTTAACGTTTTAAAGAAAAATATTTTTTATCTACAAAAAAATTAATTAAAATATTTTTTTATAATTTGTTTCTACATTTGTGTGAAAAAATGTGTTTAATATTTTGAATTGTTTTTTTTTTTCAAATATGTGCTTAGTTTTGTATATATTTTCAGGATTTTATAATGAAACAAATTTTCGTTAAAATTTTAAATCTAACTGATTAAATAAATATTTGTTTACATAAAAAAATATTTTTCTATAAAAAAATTATTTTTTTATAAAAAAGTTGTATATTTTTTAATAAACAAATGATTTTTTTAATTAAAAAAAACGTATATTTTTTATAAGAAATATATCCTTTTATTTAAAAAATATTTTTGTTATAAAAAATATATGTTTAAAATATTTTTTTCATGCATATATTTTTTATATATACATATATATACATATTTTTTTAAAAAAAGTATACTGTTTTCATAAAAAAATATTTTTTTTGATCTACAGATATTTCAAAATTAAGAAATAATAAAATTAATAAAATTTTTAAAATATATTTTAAAATTATAAAAAAAATAAAAAATATATATTTTCTAAAAAAATATATGTTTTTAATATAAAAATATATTTTTATAAAAAAGATAATAGTTATTAACAAAATTTTTTTTTATTAAAACAATATTTTTATCAAAACAATATATTTTTTATTTAAAAAATAGCATTTTTTATTATAAAAAATACGTTGTTTTCATATTTTTTTATTTTTAAATGTTCTTCCAAGAAAAAAAAACAATTATTTTTATGATTTTTTTTTTTCAATACTTTTGTAGACCTTTTTTAAAAAAAATATATATAAATATCTATTATTCTTATTTCATATGTAATTGTTTCCATTCGGTTTAAGGTGCTTACAAATGTTCTTAGCTTATAAACAGAAACAAAAAAATACTTAAGTAAACATACATATACTTATCTACAAGAAACAACAAAAACATTAAAAAAACGATCCATGTCTTCTTTGGTAATTTAAATTACATTTTTCTTAATTTTAATATTTTTATTTGTATTTTATTAAAAACAAAATGAATATCTTAATGGATGTATATATAAAATTCCTTGTGATTTTTTATTTGTTTGATTTGTCAATTTTGCAGTTTTGTGTTAGTGAAATTGTATAGTTTTTTTTTTTTTTTGTTAAAATATAATATAATACATAGATTTAAGCTTAATGAAAAAACCTTTGAAATCAGTTAAAAAAATAAAACAAGTTTTCAAATTGGTCTCATATTTTGTATAATAATATTTTCTTTCCGAAAAGCCTTAAAAAATTTAAGCAAATGTTTTAAATTGTAAATATTTAAAAAGAGAGTTAAATTAAAAAAAAAAAATAAATAGCCAATAGTAATGATCTCAATGTTTAGCAGTCATTTGTTAAAGAAAAAATTAAATTTAAAATTAACACAATTCCAAAAAAACATAGTGAAATTATTAAAAAAAAATAAAACACAGAAAACGATCTCCTAAACCAAAGTATTTTTTTTTTTCTTTTTTTACTTTCATTGCCAACACCAAGTTTGTTTTTGCCTGTTTTTTTTTTTTATAGCCAATATCTTTTTTGTTTTTTTTTTTAGTTTTCTTATTTAAGTTTCCTGTTTTACAAGCAAAAAGTTGTTGTGTTATATATTTTGTTGTTTACAAATGTAATGAAAACAAAACATGATTTCTGTTTAAAAATTTAAAACATTTGCTTGAATTAAACAAAAAAATACATCAATTAAAATAAAAAAATTTAAAAAAATATATATTTTATATTAAAAAAAAAAACAATTCCCAAATACAAAGTGATCTCATGTCATATAATTTTTTTTAAATAAATATTTAAGGAAAATATATTTTTGTTTTGCAAATTAAGAAAAAATACGCCAAGCGTTATTTTTTAAAAACAAAAAAATATGAATATTCTTAAAAAATATTTGCACAATTTCTTGTCATTAGACAGTTTTGTTTAGTTGTAATTTTTCTTTGGTTATATTTTTGTAAATTTTATTTAGTTTTTAATTTTTAAAAAAAATTGAAAGTTTTTATTGTAAATAGTTCAATTTAAAAAAAAAAAAAAAACATTTTTCCAATATTCAATGCTTGGAAATGCTATTGGAACTTGTTTTAAAATTTATTACAAATATAAGTTTTAATAATATTTTCAATAACTTGCTGAGATTTTTTTTTTAAACCACCACCTCCACCTTTCCATTTCCATTCACACAAAATAGTACAATTTCTGTTTCTTTTACAAAACATTCATTCACACCATTCATTCATTTTTACATTTTTTAATTCATTTAAACATTTCCATTAATTTTAAACATTAATTAAATACAACAACAACAAACAAAAAATTGTAAATTTCAAAAATAATGAACTAAAAACTAAAGTTGCCATTCAGAGCACAAATACAAAGTTCCTGAATTCGAATTAAATCAAGAAAAAAAAACAACAACAATACAAGAAATAAATAAATTGAAAAATAAGAAGAAAAGAAAAAAACTTGAAATTTAGTTCATTAGTTTTTGCTTGGTAGTTTTCACAATGATCTCGGATTTTGAAGTTTTGTAATGCTTAGATTTATTTTCAGGGGAAGAAAATCGCATTTCTTCTTTGCCAAGGGAAATAAATCCATAAGCGTTTAACAACAAAAATTGCAGTTACTAGAGTAATAATTTTTTTAAATAACCATTTAAAGTTAAACACATAATTTTGGGCCCCAAAATGTTTTCATTTTACATTAATTACATTTAAACACAAAAAAGTCATAGTTTGTCCAATGCAAATTTTCTTAATATTAAGTTGTAAATAAAAAAAGAAAAATAAGAAATCCATGCCACCCGCCATTTTCATGAATTTGTATTTTTTTTTTTTTTCAACTTTTGTAATTTGCTGCCAATTTAAATTTATTTTTTTAGCTTAATTTGCTTTGTATTTTTTTTCTTAGTTGTAATTTCCAAAAAAAAATAAATATAAAATAGCAAATTTATGCTTAAATTAAATTTAAGTCTTTTACTTATTATATATAAAAACAAAAACAAAATATTTCACTCCATGTTACATATCTTCAATATTATTTGTATTATTCATAAATAAAAACATATTTTTTCTCTCTGTGTATATTTGTAATTTTCTTGTGTGTATGTTACGTTTTTTCGCTTATTTTAAATAAAAACATTCAATTTTGTAAATCAATATTTTTTGTATTTTTAATTATTAAATATTAGTTTTTTTTTATTGTCTCATATATGATGTATTTGCTATATATATATATATATATAGAAAAATAAAAAACATTTATGTGTATATACGTATTCTTTGTATGTATACATATTCATCATTTTTTATGATCTCATCAATGTTCATATGATTAAAATAAAATTAAATATTATTATACATTTATGAAATATAAAATAAAAAAACAGAAATGAAATTATAAATCAATAAACGTTTTTTATAAGCATTTTTTGTGAAAGAAAAAATAAAGTAAAATGTGTATTTTTATTTTGGAATGGGTCAGGGATTTTTCTTCTATTCCGGGAAGAAAAGTAGTCGAAGTAGGAATTCGGAGATATAAGTCCTTACCCATAAAGAAAAAAATACAGAAACTGTTGAAGTTAAGGTGACAGCCCCTGGCGGAAGCGTAATTTTGAGTAGATACGCTACATAAAACTGGCTACACAGTCGTGACCCTTAGGCTAGAGTAGCTCGCCGGGGTCCAAAGGTTCGTAGAGAAATTTATTTATTTTGAGTCAGAAAGAGAAAGACAGTTGTTTCCGTTTGATAATACGCTTTATTGTTGTGGTAATATGGACATGACTTCGTAATATATGCCAATTAAATGAGGTAGGATACTAACCTTCGGTCCGAAATTTAGCAATGGTTTTTCGACTTGAGGCCTGGATAAGTACTCAAGACACGGGGAGACAGGGAATCAGGAGGTTAGTCCTCAGGATTCGGGTTGGTTTATGCAAGACTAGCGGATTCTACGCGAGAGACCTTGATGAGTACTCAAGCATGTCCTATAAGGGAGTGTAAGGCTAATTCTTCAGGAGATCTTATCCGTTCTTCTTGATCTATAAGGATATTCAAGACTACGTCTGCGAGAGGCCTTAATAAGAGATCAAGCTTGATCTACAAGGATATGCGAAAATACGGCTGCAAGAGACCTTTATAAATACTGCAAGCCTTAATAAATACCTTAATAAGAACGCAAGCAGGATCTACAAGTATTTTACTGCGGGAATTCAAGGATTCAGGACAATAGATCTGTATAGTACTCTAACGAAGAATATCCAAGA